TTCTGTCCCTGCTGCTCCTCCCTGGCCTCGCAGGGCTCCAGCAGAGGTGGATGTGGCCAGGCAGGAGCAGCACAGAGACCATTTGGCAAGCAAGGAGAGCCTGTCCTCACAAAACAGAAATCCCTGGCTGCAGCTCTGGGTGCTGCTGCCCCTTCAGCTGTTGCTGACCTGGGGCTGGAGGGAGGAGGGATGGAGGGGGAGCACACGACAGACAGAAACCGAGCAGGAGCTGCCTGGGGGGAGCAGATGGCATGGGAAACAACCAGCCCTGACACGGCCTGGGGAGCTCTGCTCAACCCCAGAGCAGCTTGGAAGGACACTGCTCCCCATTCTGGGGAACAGGATGTGCTGGGGGTTCCTCCCCCAACCCTGCACATTTTGTCCCCCAGTTCTCCCTCCTGGGCTGAAGCCTTGAAGGAGCTTCCCCATCCCAGTGTGTCCCAGTTGCACCAGCTGACAGATTGGAGGTTGGGAAGGGGCTCGGAGGGGAGTGTTGCTTTGATCTCTTTTGCTCATTGGGAGGATTTTCCAATCCAGCTGTTGCAATAAAAATAGTTGAAGGACGGAATAATTATAGGACAGGGCCAGTAATTAAAGTCATGTCCAGCACTTGTGCAGGCCTGGGATCAGGTCATGCTGAACAAAGCTTTGCAAATTGCTTCTTTAGCTCTGTGGCAGAGGGAAGAGATCATTTTGATCTGCAGTCTTCATGCTTTTAAGCAGTTCATTCCTCCAGTTACAGCTTAAGATGAGTAATGGACCCTCTGGGTTTATAGCTCTGTGTTACTGAGCACAAATCTGCCTTAGGAACTGAATCAGCCACTTCTGCACCCTGAGACTTAGCAGGGGGAAGATTTCTACAGTCTCTTACAATCCTCACGTCCTGATACCTCCCATCACTGCCACGAAAGGCTTTAAACCCTCTTCATTCACAGCTCTCAGGGTGGTGCAAGCAGCAGGGATTGAAATAGCTCACCAGTACGTGCTCCCTGGGGCTGCAAAGTGAAGAATCTGTTGTTTGCTTCAGGCTGGGGAGTAGTTAGTGGGAAGGAAATGGCTGTGACATGAAGGAGTTGGTTCCTGGCACAGATATTTGTACACACAGGAACACAGAATGGGCTGAGCCCAAACTCTGTGTCTCAGTCATGCCAAATCATGGTATCATGGGATGGGTTGGGAACCTTAAAGCTCATCCAGTTCCTGCCATGGTTGTCTCAGTCATGCCAAATCATGGTATCATGGGATGGGTTGGGAACCTTAAAGCTCATCCAGTTCCACCCCTGCCATGGTCAGGACACCTTCCACCAGCCCAAGTTGCTCCAAACCCCATCCAACCTGGTCTGGAACATTTTCCAGGGATGAAGCAGCCACAGCTTCCTTGGGCAACCTGTGACAGCACCCAAGGAGCACATCCTACCCATCCCCACTGCACTGGGACTGGGAAAGTCAGGGAATATCAGGAAGGGAGAAACTTTCACATCACTGCTGAGCTGGGAAAAGGGAACAGCCCCAGACTGACACCATGAGCTCTGTGGGACTATCCCAGTCACTGGTGGCTCCTCCAGGGAGGACACTCAGTGTGTCCACACATCCCTGCAGAGCAGCACTGTCCAGGAGCTGATAAACCCCAGGACAAAGCACACATTAAATGCATCCCTGCCTTTAGGAGGGCAAATACCAGGCTCCTCCAGGCTGCTCCAGGGCCCCTTTGTGTCGGGCAGATGTGGGTGCAAGGCTGGGCAGTGGCACAATCGTGGCCGTGCCTGTGTGTGTAGGTGGCTCCTGGGGACAGGCAGTGCCAGAGAACACAGCACACATTGTCAGGGCAGCCCAGGGACAGGGACAGCCACCCAGCACAGAGCCTGGAGCTGCCACAGGGGCACCAGCATTCCTATCTGCTCAGCCCAGCACAAAGGGGCAGGTGACACCTCTTTTCCTAGGCTCAGCATTCCTTAATCGTTGCTTCTCACCCTCTTGTGCAGCACAGAAAAGCTCTGACTCCTGCTCAAGGAGCAGAACTCACCCTTTTCCATGATGTGTTTCTATTATATTCCAGCTACTTCACCAATTTCTATCCCCAGGACAGCAAATTGTGGCTAGAGAGCTGTGCAGCAGCTGCAAACCCTCCCAGAAGAAACTTTGCAGCTCCATTTCTCCACTCACATATCGATTTAACACATCCAGTGCTTTCTCCCTGCCTTGAGGTGGGGGAAATTTCTCCCTTCCACAGATGGTGGAGCAGCACTAGCAATTCCTCATATCCCAGCCCTGGAGCATCCCTGTGAGCCTGAGCTCCATCTGCTCAACACCAACAAGTTCCCACTGGCTCTGAGTGGCACAGCCTGGAGGGGTAGGAGGGGGTGGTTTGCCCCTCAGCAGCAGGATGAGGCTGCTGACATGCTCTGCTCATTAGCAGAACATGAACCACATGCTAAGGAATCCACTTGCTTCTCCTCCAGCCATGCTCCAGAGCTCCTGAGCCCCAGAATTCCTGGCTCCAGAGCTCAAAAACTCCAGGCTCTGGAACCACAGACTCCTGAGCTCCAAGCTTCAGATTCCTGAGCTCCAGACTCTAGAGCTCCAAGCTACTGAGCCCCAGAGCTCCAAACTCCAGAGCTCCACAGCACTGGAATCCACTGATATATGGAAACATCTCCCCTTGCTGCAGAGATGCAACTCTCAGCAACAACCTGCTCCAGGCCAAGGCAGCACAAGTTCAGACACAGATGCTCCTAAGGTGATTTGGCCAAAGTTTGGCTCTTGGTCATAATTCCCAAACTTCCATCCCTGCAAAGAGCAACACTTGGGATGTTCCACCTCAGCAGCCCTGGAGGACTCTGAGCACAGCCTGAGACTTCCCTGGGTGCACAACCAACACTGGGGAAAGGCTGAAATGAATTTCCTTCTCAACAGCTTAATGAAACGAGACCTTGAGGAATAACAATGGAAACAAATCCCTTCCCTATAACCACACTCAGGGAAAACCACCACAACTCCCCCAGGCAGCCAGGAGGGCTGAGAGCAGCCACAGAACAGTAAACAAGAGGAATCTCTGGTTGAAGTTAAGTAAAATTAAATAAGCCCACAATGAGGGATGGTTTTAAGCAGCTCATTAGGTGCAGCAGGATGTTCTCAGCAGCAATTAGGCACTTAGCCTTATTTATGGCTGGAAGAGGAACAGTAAAACTCGAGGAGTTGGTGCTCCCAGGAACGTTCCTGCAGCACCATTTAATGCATGGCAGCTGCTTAATTAATGCTGATTGAATAGCACAGAGCAACATTTCCACCAAGAAAAAAACCTTCTGGTTTCAGGTAATGAAAAACATTGATTTTAAAGGCATCTATGGATGTGATTCCCTCTGGAGCCAGGCTGGGAGAGATCAGTCTGGAGAAGAGAAGCTCCAGGAAGAACTTAGAGCCCCTTTTAGTGTCTAAAGAGGCTCCAGGAGAGCTGCAGAGGGACTTGGGACAAGGGATGGAGGGGCAGGACACAGGGGAAGAGGAGAGATTTAGGTTGGATATTGGGAAGAAATCCTTCCCTCTGAGGGTGCTGAGGCTCTGGCACAGGTTGTCCAGAGAAGCTGTGGCTGCTCCATCCCTGGAAGTGCTCAAGGTTAGACAGGGCTTGGAGCAACCTGTGCCAGTGGAAGGTGTCCCTGCCCTTGGCAAGGGATGGAACTGGATGATCATTCAGCTCCTTCCAACCTAACCCAGTCTGTGGTTCTATGCAATGATGCTCAGCCACATCTCTCCAACATCCACAAGAAACATTCCAAGGAAATGCTGAATTACAGTGCAGGAATCAGTGGAAAAAAGGAAAGAAATTATGACAAAGTCAAGACATGATCATTTGGCACCTCGTGCCCTCCCCTGGAGCCTCCCAGCAGCCTGGGGAGGGCAGTGCTCCCTGTTTGCCTCTGCCTGGAGGAGAGAGAAGAGCTTTGTGCCTGTTCCTGAGCTTGGGTACAGCGTTCACAATTGTTCTGTGGAACAA